AGGCCTATTAAGGGATGCCTCTATAGCTGCTTATTAAAAGCCACATTTGTGTGACATGCTAGATCATAAAAATTATGTTTGGTTTGGGAGCTAGTGAGCTAAGCTACAGAGTTCAGTCACCACCCCCATCAACTGCCTTTTAATTGCAACCATGTCATCTCCTTCCTCTACCACAAAGGATGCTACAAATTCAGATGTAGTAAGAGCTAGCTACTCATGTCACAAGAAGTGAGACTGAATCCTATCTGAAGGTTGGCTGTTTCATGTTTGTTCTTATTTGCTTTGAACACCGCTGCCCTCCCAGGCTCTGGTTAACACTGGAGGCCCTACCTCAAGGGAACACAAAAAATTACAGCTAGGCTTTGTAGATCTAAGAGGTTTAGCTAAACAACATATAAATGTGTGAATTAATTATTGGTTCGTTTCGCAATCTAAAACCTTCTGAAGTTTAGCCACCTGCTTACATATTCGATATGTTTCCCGTACATGCAGTATAGTTTCAGTAGTACAGATTTTTAAAACATTCAGCAATGTAGATCCTTAAAAACCCCACTTTTGCTGCACTGGTTCTCTGAAGGTTTTTCCCTATGTACTTCACTTTCCAGTTTAGTTCTGCTGTGTCAGTGTTTGAGGTATAGCTTTCTGTCATACAAAGAACATTTCCTATGGAAATTCTGCAGTCAGTCTGGAAGTTGGTACTCTATACTTGAATGCTGTTTCTGTCTGACTCAGGGCTGTTCCTCTGGAAAAGGAAGCAGAAATTTAGATGCTTAAAATAGGTAACTTACTGTAGTGAGTGTGTTATGTGGCCTCCAAATACTTGGCTTAAACCTGTGTCATTTTTAGCAACTACAATTTCTGATTTCGTAGATTTAGCAAGAATTTAATGCATTTCCATGTGGGCTTCTGCAGGAATTCCTACCGAGGAGCTACCACTGTTATAGTTAACTCACTGCTGGCTTGTTTCATACTTTGGCAGTTTCCCTGTGGGAGGTGAAGACACTTTCTTGATTGCAAAGAGAATAGAATCAGAGACTTGGGTCCAGTCAGCTGAGCTTTATTAAGAATTGCATTTCCCTTACTAGGTCTAGCTCCCAGCAAATACATAGATAATGTTTTTCTCTTCCGGACTCCCTTTTTTTTTTCTTGTTACTCAGGTCCCCCTCAGCCACCTCCAGACATACGAGTGAACAAAAAAGAGGTGCTGATTACCAAATCCTCCATCAACTTTACTTTTAACTGCAGCTGGTTTAGTGATACTAATGGAGCTGTGAAGTACTTTACTGTGGTTGTGAGAGAGGCTGATGGTAAGTGTCATGATTTAATACCATTCTCTCTATAGCTTATAGAGTTACATGGGGAGGTACGCCCCCATCACTACACAGCAAAGGAGCTTCTCCTCATCTAGTGGCTGAGTTTCATAGAGGTTTTGGATCTATACCTGCTCCCTAGCCTGGGGACTTAGGAACTCAGTCCTCTCCTCGGAGGGTCAGTAGCAACTGCAGAGCCAGAAGCAGTAGTTAGCTTCTGTACTCTAGGTTATGGTCTCACGTATGTTCAGGAAATCTCCGCAGTAGGAGACTTACGTTGGATGCCATTGGCAATGGACACAGAAGAAACTGCCTTGCTGTGCACAGATCTAAAGGTAGTTTAAATGTTAGGTGGGAACACTAAGGCAACTCTTTTGGAGAACCTCAGTAAGCCATGCTGAGAAGGCAAAGGTAGCATCTCCCAGGTGGTGTTTGCTTAGTGAAGAAAATGACTTTGTGTGCAGCACTGTGAAACAGAACAGAGATTGCCCTTGTAGCATGCATGTAAACTTCCCTTTCTGCAGTTGACCTATATGTGACAAAACAGATGGATGTCTCAACAATTAATACCATGTTTTTAGAAGTGGCTTCATTTACTGGCATGCCAGGACATATTTTGTGACCCCTGAGAAAGTTTCTTAATCTCTCTGTCCATCAGCCCTTAAAGGAAAAAAGCATAGATAATACTTCCACTGTCTACTCTGTCATTTGTGCAGACTATAAAGCTCTTTGAGAAGGGGACTACTCATTGCCGTGGTTTTGCCTACCTGAGTCTTTTACACATTATCATGAGTTTCCATTCAGGGGACTCCTGTCATTTCCTATTGCAGCTTTTCTCCCTATACAGAAGACTTGTCATATGTGGATTTTTTTTTTACTTGCTTTTTGAAATAGCTGGTGGTAGCATCCAGGATTCTGGATCACAGACATTCCTACCAACAGCACAGGAGAAAATGTCATAGCACTGAATTCGACCTGTGCATGCCTATTGCAGCATTGTATATGGAAAAATTGCGCTAAGGTCTTGTGAGGAAATCTGTCTGAAGTTCCCCAGAAGAATAATAGCAATATTGGTACTAGAAACAAGGTACCCTAACCACTGTAGCTTTGTATTCACAAGGTAGCCTGTGCAGCCGCCAAGGAAAGTTGGATAAGAATGTCTGTCAACAGCTTGAGCCTATAAACTGCACCACATTAATGACTGTGGTATGTAAACCTCCTGTCTTTCTCTGCACATGATGTAGGTAGTGAAGGACCAAAGCCTGATGAGCAGCACCCATTACCTTCCTACCTGGAGTACAAACACAACGACTCTATACGCATCTACCAGACAAATTATTTTGCCAGTAGATGTGCTGAAAACCCTGACAGTGACTATAAAAGCTTTGACATTAAGCTTGGAGGAGAAATGGAAAATCTGGGAGGAAGGTGTGATCCAGATCAGCAAAAATTCTGCGATGGACCTCTAAAGCCTCGGACTGCTTATAGGTTAGATTTATGTTGGTAGTTGTGCTCTGTCACATTATTAGGCATGGTGCTGTCTGGATGTTTTCATGTTTCACATGTTTTTGAGCTTCTGTAGATTAATAACTGGGTTGTATGATGTTCTTTGTGTTTCGCTGTGAATTTATAAAAGGTTTATCCATGCCCCCATTCCATAGGTGTGAACCAGTCCTTCACTAGCATGGGAATGATACAATTAATTATGCACAAAACTCAGTGCAGTGAATAGGCTTATTCCTTTCCCTCAACTTGGTGGGGAGCTCTCCTATAACTGCTAAATCTTTCTTTGGAAAGACTTAAGACCATCAGGTAAGTCAGAAGAGTACTTAACAGGAGAAGGCAAGGATGCTTCACTCAGTCTGTTTGGCACCACTACCCCACACCAGTTCTTTGGAACGGGCTAGAAGAACCTGGAGGTTATTCTAACTTGTGGCACCTTTCCCAGGCTCCAGAGCTAGGCCCGGGTTAGCTGTAGGGTGTGGAAGAGGATAACTGTCAGGACCAGGCTCAGCAGTTACGCAGGCTGTGAGACCAAACTTGAGCTCCAGTGCAGCTCAGTCACGCCCCTCCTGCAGGCAAACACTTTCCCAACAGGTCTGCAAGCTGCTCACTGGGCAGCCACATGGACAGAAGGCATGTGCCAGGCAGTGCACATCATGCCTCTTCAGCTTCTTCATCATCATCAAGACAGTGCTACCCTACCACAGTCTGCTCTCATTAGGGCACATTTCCCAAAAATTCAGTCTGGGAAATATCCACATTGCCAGGAGAATGAAGAGGAGTGAACATTTCTCCACTAGTACAGCTCCGTCCAGCCATGTGGAGGGAAAATATCTCCCCACTGAGAAGCATTTCTGAGTCCTCTCCCCACTGCAGCTTCTGCTAGTCCTGCCTTCAGGCACGGTCAGGCTGTGTGCACCAGCAGCCAGAGCCCCATCCGTTATCTCTGCCAGTGTACTTCAGAGCCCTCCATCTGTACTAGCTGGGCTCTCCCAGCTCTAGTATTCAACTCAGGTGCCTGCATTAAGAACCATCTGTGGTCAGTGGAAAGGTTTTAGTTATCTCTAAGGGGCAAATGAGTTCTTACTTTTCTGCTGTTGGTTCTGAATATCTGATGAGCTCTAACTATAACGGTACTGTTTTCTTAGGATCAGCATACGGGCCTTTACCCAGCTCTTCAGTGAAGACCCAAAGGAACTCCCTAACCCGCTCTTTGCAGACACCTTCTTCTCTTTACCGATCACTACAGAGGCAGGTTAGTTTCAGGCTTGTTTTTCAATGACTGCAGCACATGATTATGTATTTTGCCTTAGAACACTCTGGTATCTAGAACTACTTGCAAGGAGTGGAACAAAAACAGATTGTTGTGCATGTCCTGAAGGCTGCTCTGAAATGAGGCTGGAGCCGTGGCTTATCCAGCCTTAGTTTGAAAATTCAGAGGACTGCTTGATGGAGCTGCTGACAGTAGAGGAAAGGGTGAACACTCAGTGAAGCTATCACCAAGAAAACTTCAAAGTGCAAGAGAACAAACTCCCATATAATGGGGTTGTGCTTGCTTTTACTGTGGTTGGGAGTGAAAGATTTTGCATAAAGTTTGGAAAAAATAAGGACAGAAAGTCAAGGCCAGGTTTTACCTAAGTGTTTAAATGCCTTACATTTCCTTGTATTTAACCATTTTCTTCAGCTGATAATAACATATCCCCTGAAAGTTATTGATTCTTTGATTCTTCATATCTTTTCCTCAAGATATATAAATACACTGTTTTGTTTCTAGAGCCTCTGTTTGGAGTTATTGAAGGTGTGAGTGCTGGCTTGTTTCTGATTGTGATGTTAGTGGCTGTTACTGCCTTATTTGTCTGCAGACAAAAAGTTAGGTAAGTTGAGTTCCTTTATCAGTCTCTGTTATTGAAGTCAGGTCAAATTATATTCATTTAAGCAATGCAATATTTAAAGCGTAGCTGTAAAATTGGAGGAATGCACTGAACTATTCAACAGATAAAATCTATGTCCCCCAACATCTGTACACACTAAGTATAGAACTAATGACTTACATATTAAGAGATCTATATATTCTTGATTCAAATACCACTGATGTTAGTCAGAATTATCTCATAGAGCATCCTTGTAACTTTTAGTTTTCAGTAGGAGTCTGAATATTTCTGAAAAAGTGGTTCAAACAATGTCTTTTGTCAAAAATGAAATGTTTCAAATTAATTTCATCTGCATTGTAGATGGGAAGCTCTTGAAACTGTTCATTTAGACTTCTGTCATTTCAGTTCAAAAATCTTAAGGTGTGACGTTACCTCAGTGTCCAAAAGATTAGTTCAGACCTTACTTCTCTTTTTTTTGTCGATTATAGTTGTGTATTTCATATTACAGATGAATCTTAAATAGTGAATTTTAAATGTTTTGCGAAATGCTCTGTCTCAAATTTGAAAAAAGCTTTGTCCATTTAAACCATTTTGCATGACTGAAAAAGATATGACATTATTGATATGAAATTCCTTGTCGTTTCTGAAATTAAAAAAAAATCAACATTTCCGTTACATGGGAAACTCTGAAAATCTGAAATTTGGTTCTGTTACTGATACAAGATTAGGTCTATTTTGTTTTGAATTTGCTTTTCAGATGCCAGAATTTCACATTGAAAAAAAACTGTTTTCTGACTAGTCACAGCTTTTAGTCAGAATGGGTTTACGCTTTAGCAATGCTATTCTCAGGCTCTATGAACAAATTCAGTGTATTCCTCTATATGCCATCCAAAAAAAAGAGGCATAAATCATTAGCAATAGTAAATAAAGTCTGCTTTGGCATGTATAGGCTTGTGCACTCCTAACCGTCTCAGTACATAGTGACACTTAGAGCATGAATAGAGTGCAGATTGATGTGTTTTCCACCTTGCGCATCTCATTGCATTTTTTAGTGTAGATGAACTTCAGATAGAGTGTGGTTTCTTGTTGCGAGTTACATAGCCAGCAGGACTGCAAGTACCGATACGGTTTTCCCTTATCATATGTAAAGAGAAAGTGTTCTCTAAGGGAGGTGTGTTGAAGGAGGAGATGGCAGTGAAAGGGTGAAAGGCAACACTAACCGTACGGAGTCAGTACCACTTCTGTGGCTTTCCCAAAGCCCACTGTGGCACTGCCACTTACTCCTGCTATGAACCTGGCATCTCTTAGGGGCCTGGTCTGCAGAGTATGAAAATCTATCTACATGTTCCTCTCTGCATGCAGAGAATGAACCAGTTTAGGGCCCGTCTTAACATAGGACACCCTCCTTGAGGATAGGCTGGGCTGTGAGTGTTTCACAGCAAGAAAAAAGTCTTATTGCCTGTGCACATGCATACACTCCACATCAGTATTACCAAACTAAAATACAAGGAAACTGTGCCACAGCTAAGAGCAATGTGACGTGATCAGAGCCACAAATCAAAACAGACTTTCTCAAATTCTGTTTCTTCAACTTAATGGTGTAAGTTATGTTATTGGTAGCTCTTATCAGTATCAGAACATAACAGTAAAACAGAATACCTTCCTTTTTATTCCAGCAATGGCCACGAAAGACCTACAGCAAGGCTGAGCATTCGCAGGGACAGGCCATTGTCAGTCCATTTGAACTTGGGGCAAAAAGGGTAAAATCAAAAGTTTTGTTTCTAAGAGCACTATTTTAATATGGCATCATGGATGAACAGTCACATCTGGTCACTCACTGATGAAGTGTTTCTTTTTCTTTTTGAAATAATTTCTAGGAACCGGAAAACTTCCAGGTAAAAAGAAAAAATTAATACTTAAAAAAGCTTCTTGATAGCCAACTGGATAAATTATGACTGTGATTCATCCTGTGATTTTCTTCCTCCTCTTGAATATTTTAGTCCGATCAAAGTCAGTCATTTTGAAGCACACTTCACCAAACTTCAAGCAGACTCCAACTACCTCCTGTCCAAGGAGTATGAGGTGGGATCCTAATCTAGGCAAAGGACTTTGCTTTATGAAGGGGCGGGCTGGCTGACTCGATGGGTTAATGCATTAGAAAGGCCTGCATTTGTTTGTCATACTCACACAAATCCAAGTAAGTTTGAGTCTCACCTGAACTCCACTTGTCCTAATGCAGAAACCAGCTCTTCGTTTGGCATAGCATCTTCTGGTTGGCAGCCTCTGCCTGATACCTATCTGGCTGAGGTCAGGAGCATTCATTTGTGTGGCACATCTGTGTGATAAAGCATGGAGAGCACCTGCCAGCCACGTGCTTGCTTTAAACCAGTATGATTAGCTATTTAATTTCAGTTTGTTCTTTTAAAAACCACCCATTCTCTGTCCATGGCCTTTGAGAGCTGATAAGCACTGTGTCCCCCTGTGTTGTCATGTCCTTTAATTATTTTCACCTCACATTTTATTCCTACTTTTTTTTGCAGGACTTAAAAGATGTGGGTCGAAACCAGACATGTGACATAGCACTTCTGCCAGAGAACAGAGGGAAGAATCGATACAATAATATATTGCCCTGTGAGTTTTAGGTTTGGTTGTGTAATATTACATCACAACAGCTATTTTTCACTTTTTTCAGCAAGCCTAATGGAAAAGAGAGTGCAGCCAATCCCTTCCCTCCTTCCTGTCAGAGATGAAATACCTCTGCCAGCTCAGGTTCTGGTGCTTGGAGGCAGATGATGTATGGCCCTGAGTGGTTTCACACAGACCAGTAATTTCATTTCACACTAGAGATGTAATGACTAGCATTTAGTCTGGAGAGAAAAAGCTCCAGCTATTATGGGCATTCAGTCACTGCTGATAACAAGGATAGTAGAAATAACAGTAGAGTTGTTTACATATAGGGTGTAATCCATTTAGTGCTTTTTGACAACCTTGCCAAATCTTTCTTCTTCAGAGGACACAGCAAACCTACTGTACAATGTAGAGCTAGTGTGGTTCTGCATGGTAAGACACACGTGTGAGGTTAGCCCTCTTCTCCTGGGGCAAGACCTGTCATTGAGAGTTTCCCCCTTTAATCTCCTATCGGCCAGTTTTGGAGGTAACACATGCTGTGCGTTGAGGAGGAACACCACATGACTCGCTGCTCCACATGCTGCCCTGCTGCTGGATGTGGTATACACTTGGAGCACAGCCTCACAGCATCTCCTATGTTCTGCTGTGCCGGGCTGGGGAGCATGCCCGCGATTTACAAGAAACAATGCCTGACTGAGATCTAACGTGGCATTATCTCACAAATCAGTGACCTGGTGGCTTAGGCACTCTGTACCTCTCTGTAGTACTGGAGATGCCGCTGGCCCCAAGGAAGACAGTTGGCCTAGCTGCATACATTAGCTCTGAAGCTGTGCAGACCACTGAAGCACTACCGCTCTTTCAATGGCAGCGCTGGGCACTGCTCTCCAGTACAGCACACTGCTGTCAGGATCAAAGGACAATGCTGTTGTGGCTCTTCTGTTGCCATAACAAATCCTGTGCAACTCAGCTGGGGAATTTTTGGATATTTACTGCTTCCTTCTCACCCATTCATCTCCTTGTCTTTGGAACACTCCACAGCACTTGTGGATGAAAGAGGCAGTACAAATACAAGCAGTTATTCCTCTAAATTAGCCCTCCATATAAAATCCTTGTAATAATGCTGCCAGTCCTTTCACAAATGCATTTCTGTAGATGGGAGAGGGACCGAAAATCAAGACCTAGCCATAAGCCACTTGTAATCAATTTGTTCCTAGATGATACATCAAGAGTGAAGCTTTCCAATGTGGACGATGACCCTTGCTCAGACTACATTAATGCAAGCTACATACCAGTAAGTGACTCAAGGATGGTATTTTACAGTCCTCCCTCCAGTGGTAATTTGTCCTTCATCTAAAACTGAATATAAAGCTGGATGCTTAAGGCTCCCCTCCCCCTTCATTTATTCACTTGAGCTAGAAGTCTGAGAACTCATTTTGCGGGTGTGCTGAAAGGCTATGTCTGACTGCCATTAAGTTAGCTGTGATTTAGCCAGCACTTAAGGACACTTTCTTGGATTGCTATAGTTACGTAAGATAGCAAGTCTAATTGGCCAAGGACACATTTTTAAAGGTCACTGATTTTATACAGTGTCCACAACAACTCTAGCTATCACTGCAGGTGGCATCCTCATTGTGGAGCTGTAGTTCATCCTGACAGTGTTGGCACCTTGCAGGATGGTGAAACTGGCTGAGATTACAATAATGCCCTTTGCCAGAGAGTTGTGATTGATAATAGCAGTGGCTTTAGCAATCCAGATTTCAAGCCAGAACTCAGCTAATTTATTAAAAACAGTAAATAAACCAAAAACCCCTAGTAGTTCCAAAATTTCTTGAGACTGTGCTAAACACAACAGAACAATGAAAAGCTTAGACTGCCACAAAAGGAACAGTATTTAGATACACTGCCGCAGTCTCTTCCTTCTCTCTGCTCCAGCCAGCCTTCTGCTTCCAGGTCCAAGACAACAATTTAGCTCTCAAAACTGTTGTCCCAGCAAGGGCATTGTTGCTGCAGAGCCCTGGCTGCAACCCCATGGCTTGTACAGTTGCTAGAAGATCTTTTTTTCATGCCTTTATGGAAACTAATGGAGTTCTCTTTACTTGCAGGGCAATAATTTCCGCAGGGAATACATAGCGACTCAGGGCCCTTTGCCTGGTACCAAAGATGAGTTCTGGAAGATGGCATGGGAACAAAATGTTCACAATATTGTCATGGTAACCCAGTGTGTTGAGAAGGGCCGGGTAAGCAGTGACTTCTTTATTATCAATGACTGTTTTAACATCTATTAAAAGTTTATGCTTATTATTTGCATCACACTAATGCCAAAGGCCCCGGTCAAGGAGATATACAGTAAGAGATAAGAGGTATAATCTAAAGACTGGAAACAGATTAAGGCTGTGAAGTGAGGATGCAGTGACCATCCCAAGATCATGCAGCATGTCAAGGCTAGAGTTAGGTACAGAGCTCAGTGCTTCTGGTCTCTAATCCAGCACTTTGCTCACTAGTACTAATATAATCCCCTTAAGCATGCAGAAGGACAACCACCAGCAAAAAATGCCTGCTTATCACATCAATTCCAATCAACTACTACTTTAAACATAAGCTCTAGAGAGCAAATGTTGGTCATTAAATACATGAAATTCTCTCTGATGCATAAGCCCTGATGTAGTAAGCAAAGAGACCACTTGCGCACTTAACAGTCTTACTGAGTGCAAGTGTAGATAGGTTATTTAGCTGTCTCAGCAATCCACCTCCCCAAGTATGACCACATCCTGCACCCTTTGTAAGACAGGGACTACATCTGTAAAAAGATTAAACCAACTTGAAGTAGTGATCATCTAGTGGCACACATGGGGATATTTCCTTTCAGTTTACCATTTTTTCTTGAGGAGAAAGAGAAAGCAGATGCAGAACAGGCAGCCACCTGTCTCCTCCTGCACCTCACTGGCTCTGAATGGGACCCCACTGTCATGTCTGGGCAAGAGGTGGGGAAGCAGGCACTGGAGGCCTAGCTGTCATCCAAGCAGAGGTCTAAGAGTTGGCGCAGAAAATGTTGTGGCATCCAGAAGAGGGCATCAGTGAAGTGCTTTGCATTCCCCCCATCACAAACTTCTATGATGAGAACTTCCACTTCCCAGCCCCATCCTAGCTCGTTCCCATCCCAGCATTGCTGAGCTGACACTGCAGGGGGTGGCATCTCTCCCTGAATTCAGCTGCTGCTGTTCTTCCTTCATTCTCAGGCACAGGAGGTCTGAAGTCTGCTTCTGCCAGTGCGGGTGGAGGCATTGTTTACAGCTGTTACCGACACTAAATCTATCTTTTTATGTGTCCCTGCAGGTGAAGTGTGATCACTACTGGCCCCTTGACCAGGATTCCTTGTACTATGGCGACCTGATCGTTGAGATGCTGTCTGAATCGGTGCTCCCAGAATGGACAATACGAGAGTTTAAAATCTGCAGTGTATGTTTGCATTTACCTTTTTTTGTTGTTGTTTTTAAATAATTGGCTTAAAAGCACCTGCAAGGCTAAATTAGGAAGCTTTGTTCTGCTGTAGCACAGTTGCATCATGCCCATCTCATCTCTGGTGGCAGCTGTAGCATTTGCTCTGAAGGTGCATGTTATGTGTGTCCCCTCCTCTCTTGCCTGTTCTGATGACCCACACTTTTGTATCCCAACAGGAAGAGCAACTTGACTCAACGAGGCTCATTCGTCACTTCCACTACACTGTCTGGCCAGATCATGGTGTGCCAGAGACCACCCAGTCCTTGATCCAGTTTGTCAGAACTGTAAGGGATTATATCAACAGGACCCCAGACACAGGACCAACTATCGTGCACTGCAGGTATGTGCAGCAGCAAAAGGTTAGTAGCACAGAGCCTTTGTGCATACCCTTGGGAAGATCCCAAATATTCATCCCTGTTAGGCCATGGGCAGCCACAGAACCTGAGAGATAGCTGATGGGCTTAAGTCTCCAGATACATCAGACCAGCATTCCCAAGGCACATGCACTCACTCACAACCTCACCCTGGAGATGCCCCAAAAATGATTCTCAGGGAACCACCATGTCTCTGTGGGACCACTGGAGAGCACTAAAGGTGTCAGCAGCTGCCACTGCTCATAAGCTTTTGCATTCTTAAATTGCCTTATGCTGCTGTTGTGGCCCAACATCTGCATCACAAAGGGGTGTTCTGAAAAGGTAAGATATACCCAGGGGTGAATCTGGCTACATATGGATGTTGAGACTAGCTGGCAGATCCATCCTTTCCCCCATTCTGACTGAGACTCCGTCTCCTTACTGCCTTCTCCTGCTCTTCTGCTGTTGTGCCATCTCTGGCAGCCACAGGGCTGCAGTTTTTCCTCTGCTCCATGATCCACCCCTACAGACGTATACAAAAAAGGCAAAACTGGACTGCATGATCCGTGATCCACTGGCCAGCTGCAGCAGAATATAGGGTTACAGAGTGAGAGAGAGAGTGCAGCATGGTGCTGTGTATGTCTTCTGATAAAGCCATATGCTCACTGGTACTACCTGAATGTAGTATCTGACATGTCCACCCATCATATAGGCTGAGGCATGTATCTTACATGACCCCACCTGTGTCTGCCAGTACATCATGTGCTGCAACATGTCAGATGTCTACTATATCACTGGCAGGTCAACTTTCCTCTTCCCTGCCTCCTGTCTCTAATCCCCACCTCCCAGCATTTCAGCTACTGGGCACTCTGGGATACTTTGCCTTACTCTGCCCTTCCGTAAGGCACAAGCCAACCTATCTTTTAGAATCAAGCCTACTGGTTCATCCCTGGAAAGAAGAGGTTTAAAAGTTACGGTCAGGTGCAGCTCTCAGTGTATCTCAATGACTGAGATCCAAAGTAGAAAGCAGTACAGGAGTAGCAGAGATACCCCTACCATCGCTATCCTTTCCTCCTTCCTAAGCGAATTCCACTATAAAGTGAAGTCCCAGAGATGCCATTTGAACAATGAGCTTCTCACCCTGGAGATTTGAACTTTACAAAAGTACCACATGAAGATAGTGAATGCTTTGATCCATCTCCTTTTAAATCTTTTGGGTTGTTTTCTTTTCCAGTGCTGGTGTTGGCAGGACTGGCACATTCATTGCACTGGACCGAATTCTGCAGCAGCTGGATTCAAAGGACACTGTCGACATTTATGCAGCAGTACATGATCTAAGGCTTCACCGGGTTTACATGGTTCAGACAGAGGTAAGTTTTGGATAGCCTACAATACAGCAACACTAGCTGCAGTATATAATAAAAAGTCTCTCATTTTAAAGGCTCTCAAAGCACTTCACAGTTACTCCACTGTGAAATACTAGTTAGATATATTTTAGCTCTGTGAGAATTTCTAGTTCAGGATTGTTTCCATTGGCTCTCATACAGCGGGTCCAAACCATAACAAGTGGTAGCTATGCTTCCTATAGATTTCTCCTGTTGGCAGTGGCCCACAATCACTCCAGCAGTGTTATGCAGCAGACACTTAACAGCACGTTGTTGTGTTAGTGCAGTGTCCAGTAAATGAGCTTTGAGCAGAGATAGATCGTTCAGGGATGGGTTTGGAAGACAAGTCTAAATCAGACAGATAGGTCGACATAATAGGGAAAACGAATGGAGGGCAGAGCAAATTAGATGTACATAATTTTAAAACTCTTAAGCACTGTGACCTTGTGGCTTTGCAGTTCATTTTTTATTGAGCTGCTCTGTCATTTTCATTAATGGTATTGGAAAGTTGATCAGCATTCTCCTAACATACTATGCAAAAGCAAGTACATTTATTCTCGAAGTGCAGAAAAAGTATGTGTTTGGGATTTCTTTCTGTGCTTTTAAAACTGCAAGAAAAACACTTTACACTAATAGCAGCTAAACACTTAGGAGCTGATTTAATAAAGGCAAGTTGTGGAGGCAGTCTTCACATTTTCCCTGTGGACTGTTAATAGAGGAATCAGAACAAGTTTGATGGGTCTGCCTGTAGCTTGATACTAATGGAGCTCTTTGTTGCAATTTGGAAATGAAAATATCAGTGACAGCACTTCCTGACAGATGTAAAAGTCACACATAGGTTTTAAGAGAGGCTCAACTGGGAATGCAAAAGAGAGATTTCCTGGAGCTATCTTAATCACAGAAGACCTCCTGCTGGAGGGGAGGCAGATTCTCGGTTTGGTCTGGGCATCCTCAGAGACAGATCCATCTCACCTTCTACATTCCCATCAGCTGCAGTCAGCAAAGGCAGACAGGCGTCTCAGGAGGGTGGCTCTTTTTCCCTAGCTGGAAAAAAGGGACAACTACCTCAAGAGCCTAAATTTGACACCAGGCTTATAGACAACTAAAGTTGTGTGATACAAAGCCCACCTTTGGCATGAGCTTGACATGACATCTAAGTCAAAAGGCAGCCAGACCCAAGCAAAATATCTACAGCAATAGTGAGAAGCACCCCACTATGCCACTACCAGCACTACATGCACTTCTGCCCCAAACCAGCAGTGGCTCAAGTCTTACCCAGATCCCTGTTGTAACCAGTCCTGACCTTGGAAGAATTCACAAGCAGCATCCCAGAGACAGGTTGACAGAAAGCTTTTGCAGCTCACGCATACTTGCCGCACTTGAGCTGTAACATGCTTGTAGACTGACCGTGTAGCTGTGTCAGTGCACAGCCACTGAGCTGCTGTATTCTCAGCACGTCTTACTAATCTGAACTGTCAGTTGCATCTGTATATGGTTTCTGATTTGGAACTGCCTTTCATCAAGGTAGCTTGGAGCACAAGCAATACAATCTCTCATCCTCCTGCAAGAGCATGAAGTAAATTTATCCTGCAGTTTTATGGTGATTCAAAGTTTGCAATGAGCAGTGAATTATGAAGTAGTTCCTAGGCATCTTTTAAGAAAAAGTAAAGGAGGTGGGGAGAAGGAGAAGAAAAGATCTGCTCTACAAACTCTGTTTGGTGTGTGTGAAGACCCTAGTTCCTGGTGTTATCATTTATGGCTTGGCTTCCGCAATCTGTTTGGGGGTTGAGATAAAAGCTAGGTCCCATCTGTCGGTGTGGTGGAAGCCAAATCCCACTGGGGAGCACAGGCCAGCAGATAAGACTGTTTGCAATGAGACGCTCCAGCCAAAGGTCACAGCACCATCCTGCTTGACATTATGCAGTCACAGTAAAAGAGCAGCAACAAAACTGCCCCTGCTTCAGACTTGGCTGAAGGCTGTTTAAGACAAGAGAATGCAGCTGGAGACATGCAGGGGAGTAACAGAAAACTGTGTCCATCAGCTCAAAAGGCAGCGGGCTCGGCACAGCAGCTGTAACACAGGCAGAGAAGCTGTCCACCTTTTCAGTCCCAAATGGTCTCTGCTAAAGGAAGTCTCCATGCCCTGGCCAATGTTCCACTGAATTGGTGGGTGGGGTGCAGGATTCTGCTCCACAAAGTCAGCTGCCGTATGTGCATAACAGCAGGCATCCTCACTTTCTCAGAGCCAGAGCACTGAGAAAAATGCACAGAGCAATAGCTCTTGTGAAAAACAAGTAGAAGATGTGGGGGGAGAAAATGCATATGCTTATTGGAGAAATTATGTCTTTGAGATAAAGTCATATTAAAAAGGTACACCTTGATATATAAAGATGCTTGGCCTAATTTTGGGGTACCATGCTACACTAAGCAAAAAACGATAATGACCCATGTCATAAAGCACAAAGAGTAGCAAAACATGGGGATTTAACAATCTGTTCTATCAAGGGAGTTTGATAAATAGTCAATAACATGCTGACCCTCCCTACTTTGGTTGTGAATGTCATCTTAGCTCACTTCTGTGAAAGGCACTCTTCAGAAAAGACAGTCTGTCATTTGCTGCATAGTCAGAAGCAATCTTATAATTTACATTAGATCAAAAAAATACTGCTTTTGCCAGAAAATTTGGGTTCATCAAAGTTCTATGAAATAGTTATATATTGTGATAAAACTCTGTGGAAAATACTTCTTTTCAGAACAAAAAATCAGGAAATTGTTTGTCTCCTGTGTGCTTCCCTGTACATATTAATCCTGTTACACGTACTTTATACCAAAGCATTCAGAAGTAGTAGCTATCCAACACAGCATCACGTCAAATTATGCCTTACAGTTGATAGAGCTTTCACTCATGACATGATCCGTCAAAACATATTATGTTCATTTAAATTTTACTGGTAGCATTTCTAAAAACAGGTGATCACAAAAGTTTACTATATTACTAGTGTGAAAAGGAGGTTAATTCTAGAAGTATATTTTCATTTTTAACACCACCCTTGATTTTGTGTGAGGGAGTTAGCCTGTAATGATTTTTCACAGTACAGAAAATTAAATTACCAAATTTCCCAGAGTGACTTAAAAAAAAATTCTTTTGCAGTGTCAATATGTGTATCTACATCAATGTGTGAGAGATGTGTTAAGAGCCAGAAAACTTCGCAGTGAACAAGAAAATCCCTTGTTTCCAATATATGAAAATGTGAATCCAGAGTATCACAGAGGTAGGTGCAAGCTTATCAAATTGTAAAAGTGTTTCAAATGTAATAGTTCATTGACAACGTAATTGAGGGGGAAAATTGTCATCGATATCTGTTCTCTTCCTGGACCTTCATTTCTTCACTGCTCTGCTTTTGTCACTCTTGCAATTGCATCTTTATTTCCTCCATTAGTAGTCATTATAACGTCTCTTCCTGCTCCTACCTTACCTTCATGCTCTCCCTGTCTCACACTTCATTATTCCTGTGCTGTTGGGGGAACTGAACCTCTTCCCTATCATGATATTGGCTTCCTCCTTTACCTCACCAGTGTTTACATTGTCCACTTTTAAGCACACTGAGGCCACTGGCTGGGCTCGCTGGGCTCTTCTGTCATTGATGGTGTTCAATTTCTCTCCTGAATCACCCTCATTTTCTGTTGACTCTGTAGGCGGCCTTAGGACACTTCCATCTGCCTTGACTGGATAATGTAGGTGTCCAAGGTTGTGCTCTTTCCTCCTCCCCCAACTCTCCATCCTTGTAGGCTCTTTTCCCCAGCCTGTATTCAGTCCCTTGGGGATACGAATTGCAGGAGTAGCAAACCTGGCACCAGCACTGCCCTTCACCTCCTGTTCTCATGGCTGGAGGACCAGTCTGGAGAAGCTGTAAGCAGAGGTGGCCTGTGTGTCCTGCTAGAGCTGATTCCTAAGGGCTGTAGAAGTTTTCAGAGTCAGACAGCAGGAACTCGGTAGCTCCTCAAATTTGGACATTGGGAATTGACATTATATGATGAGAGATCAAAATAATGTTCTTGATCTAGCCTGTAGAAATCAGAGTTGTCATCAACAGGTAGAGCAGGATTGGAGGAGGCCAAGGACTGCAATAACCGGGGCTCTACAAGTTGGGAGTGCTAGCAAAAGCAGAGGTGGGATCTGCTCTTTAGCTGTCACATCAGTCACCAGCCAGCGCTGCTGCCACACAGCCACCTTTCAGAGCGCTCTAGTCAGCTGGCAGAGCTGAACGTGAAGCCACCTGGGTTGTTTTATTTTTTCTAATCTCAGTTTTCCTTGCTTTCAGATGCTGTTTATTCAAGGCACTAAGAATGTTACAGACAACTGCTTTTGTGACCACATTTGTTAACTAGGGGTTTTGTTTGGGGTTTTTTATGTATGTATTTCATGCACTAGAAAGGTGCCAGACCTTTCTGTTGAGACTGTGTATAATTTATTGGTCTGGTGATTTTTTAAAAAGATATATAATTTAAATGTAATAGATATTAATGTATATAATTGTATTTTGGCATTATGTAAATATGTATTTTTTCTATATTGTTTATATTAATATTAAGCTTCAGATAATACTATTTTTTTCTTATCACAGTTTTTATGAACTGTTCTACATAAACTATTTTAAATTGTATGGCAAACAGGACTGCTGCGTTTGGGGCAGGTTATGTATTCGCATGTAACACACAAGAAAAATCCTCTAAGGAGAACCTCATTTTTTTTAACTAGTTCAGTGTTTGTGAGATGAAATAAGCTACTATTAAGCAAGGGAACAGTAGTCCTGTATAGGAATTACAATGCTACTCTACACTTAAACTTACTGCTTGTGATCTGATGAAAATGGGTATAACCCATAACACAATGACATACCTTTTACAGAACTCATTAACAGCCAAGCAAAACAGGGTCCACCTCACTAGAAGCAACTGTTTCAGTCTAACGTGTCATAGTAGAAAAATATCAAACAACACACGCTGCCATGAAGTCTAGCAGACCTTTCCCCCCCCCACATGCTTTGAGGGGAGACAGGTCACATTCTGATTTCGTTACACTGGTTTAAGAGAGCAGAATCAGACCAGAGCCTGTGTCTGTGCATTTTCACTTGCGTACAATTATAATAAGAAAGGTGTTCAAGGAAACACCTCAGACATTCATGTTAACAGACCTGTAAGGATGTGAAGTCTGGCAACTTCCATAGCTCATTAAAAACAATGCTGTACCATGACAACTAAAAAAATAGAGAGATTTTAAACATATTGAAATAAAGCTGTATATCTCACAGTTTACACAACTGGCTTCAGCCTTAAGCTGCTTGCAGCGTAGCTGCCTTGGCCTAAGTGTTGGTCTCCCTCGAATGCCACTTGCTTTCACAAAGGGAAAGCATGGCCCCAGCATGTCCACATAGAAAGACTCCTCCACTTAGATGTTGCCTGATGTCACCACCACAAGGGCAGCTGGAATAGAAAAAAGGCTCATCAGTAAACCAGGGGATGTAGGCTGGCAGGGCTGTGCTAATCATCGGATGACTCAAAGCATTTAGCGATGAGCAAGAAGTACAATCGAAAAGCACTCACCAGGTATCTTGCCCAGCCAAGCGGATTAGGCACATCCTCTCTCGTCTGCAAAGAGGCTTCTCATTCAAGAGACTGATTTGAACACTCTGTTCAGCTGTTCTTTGTCTTTATAAAACGCTCTTCAGACAAATAGAGAAGAGGCAGTACATAGTTCTTCTCCATCACAAAAAGAAGGAAGGGCTTGATAGTTCTCCTTTTATATATCTACCTATACTTTACCTAGAGAAAACTTAGGCTGCTGCTGAAGACAAGTGCCTAAATTCCACTTTTATTTTGGAGATAAATAAGTATTTCTGAAGGCCTCCAGAGAACCAGCCAATACACCTACGTGAGGAACTGCTGTGGCCCTGGGCTAAGACTACTGTGATTTCACCATGACTTACTGGAGCCACACTCTCCTTGCGGTAGGAACACCTGCCTGACGATGGCTGAAGAAATCTGCAAGGCGGCTCTGACACAGTTTTCTCAAATCGTTCCAAAGCAGAACCAGCAGGACTATGCACATCTGTGTCACTCTGGTTTTCCTAGAGAGAAGGAGACAGCCTGATAGTCGCCCTTCCTTCCTACTCCATCTGGAGTCTCATCCTTTCTTGACCCAATATCCTCGCGTGCCTCAGAAGCCACCCTTCGTATCACTTTCACAGCTGCTCAGAACATGTAAGCTTGGTTGATCTTTTAGGTGTCTAAATACTGGTCATTCCTCTTGTACATCCTCTTTGGCCTCAGACAAACCTCAAGATTCACCACCCTTAGTGGGATCTGAAGAAGAAGGGAACTAGCATTATAGTGGAAGCCATTTTCACAGAGGGAAATCTAAGCAAAACCACAAAGAAATGCGCAAATTTTCTGCAGGCCCCTTTTTTCTCTGTTTCCTTTGCTAGATAGATTGTAGGATAGCAAGCAAGGACAAACAAGCATGGCAGCTTTCGATCGATCATTTACTTTGCTAATAACAGCTGAACTTAGGGCACCATGAAAATTGCCATTGTGTTACGTGCACTGCATTTAGTCCTTTCTTTTTGCAGTGGTAGCTGAGGAATGAATATCACCATGTTAGTTACCAGCAGTACAATTACACTGTGAAGACGTACCAAATGTACCCTATAAATTATCTCACGCTATATATTACTGTGTCATTTTTTTATGCTGAGGGAAATGGAACTCGCTCAATAATATATGATCTGAGGGCAAAAGTCTGATTGTATACTATGTATGCACGTTGTTCATCATTTTCAGAGACACACATTGTTCTGCTCTTTCTTTTAACACTGTTTCTCAGCTCCCTTCTCTGCACCTAACGGAGTTCACAAATCTGCACCCAAAGTGATGATGATGTAGCAGACAGCTATTTTCATCTTTTCTCTCAGCTAATAATGGACACAGTTCATAAGGCTCGTCCTCCTTATCACTTAATAACACGACAGATGACCTTAAACACTGGCACAATGCTCTTGAGCAGCTTTACATCTCTGCCTGGCCAGGTCACGTGTGAGACTGTACACACACATTATTGCTCTGGTTCTGCTTTCTAGCCAATTCTGGTCATATGAAACCAGTGTAAATCCACTGAGAATAAGTAAAAAGTATCTATGTAGCATTTTGTTAATATAAGACACCTACTTATCAGTATAATTAATTATATTCACTGTGCCTCTAAGCTGAATAACAGGACGGATGGGAAATTGTTAATATAACAAGAATGAACTCGAAGGAGCCTATGTACTGAACAAAGAGAGCTCTTAAGGAAAAAGACATCCTCCGCTGAAGAGGATTTTTCTCTTTCGAATGTCCACGAAAGACGTTCAGAATTCCCTTCTTGATGTTTCCCAATAATAATGTTATAAAGCAAGGCTAGTGTTGTCGCTGATCCATAAGCTAAGATTTGCACACTTGGAGCCCAGTCCTGTGAATCTCTGCATTGTCCACAAAGCTACCTGAGTACTTTCTTGAAAGTCAACTGGAATGCTTGCCTGAAGAAAGTCATTCCACTGCTGAAGCACTTGCAGGGTTGGGCTTTTAGGTTAATTCAAATTTTTGTATTGAAAGTTATTTAATAATGAAAAAATTGTAATAAATGTTTTTTTTTAATCTGTGCAATACAATTACAAGATCTACTACCGATTGTAGG